AACACCGGAAGGAACTGGTCCAGTATCCGGAAGTGGAAGGTGGGCGTCAGCAGGCGCCGGCGCGCGTGCCACTTCGCGCCCGTGCTGGTCAGCAGTCCGAACCTAAGCCACGGGTGCAGCGTGGAGTAGTCGGGGCTCTTGTCGATGTGGTGCACGCTCGACAGCACGGCCTGCGGACCGTCGTTGTAAGACAAGTCAATTAAAGAAATTATTAGAAAAAAACCTGAACAGGTTTATTTGGATCGTTACGCACTTTTAGAGGGATACACTATAAGGACACGAAAACTGTCTTAAGAGTAAATAGCCCGCTAGTCTCCGGTCACACGACTTTTTAAAGAAATCTGGGAGATTATCCACCCGTGTAGTGTGACGTTCAGATTTGTGACCTTGACTGCGACACTTGTATAAACAAATAATCCAATCTGGTCTCGGTATTTTAAATCACCTGTATTTAAGTCCTAATAAGCTTACGCGCCCACAGAGACTTGTGTGTGTCTGCTGCTGGCCCGAATGACTGTATAATCTGAAAAGCTCTATCGAGTTTTGGTTAAATCCACATCAGTGGTTAGTCGCTTTTATCGTGATAGCTGGCCGACAAAGGTTTTGGTTTTGATTCAAAATTATATTCTAGTGATGGAATAATTTTTCTCATTTTGTAAATCGCACCGATAGTTCGTAAGTTTGTGCTACGAGTGAGAGCCACGTACCTCGACGCTTTCCACAGTGTTGAGGAACACGTACGGGAAGCAGAACATCCAAAACTTAAAACCGTTTGGATATTTCGTCTGCTGCTCTATTGCGGCGGCCAGCGCTTCTGCAATTGCACAAAATGTAGGAATAATCACTTGTCTTATCGTTATCGTTTCGATTATGGGAATAGAAAGTTATTCAAACTAACACATCGCCGTGTACTGTCTCTTCTGTTGCCAGCCACCCTTACCAAAGTTGTGCTTGGTGATGTACAGGAGGTGGCCGAGGATTGGCACGCTGGGCGGCCCCGGCAAGGCGTTGATCTTGTCGACGAAGGCCTTCCTCTTGAGGGCGAGCGTGGTCAGGATCAGGAGGAGGAACCCACCGAGCAGGACGATGAGGACGTCCATGGTGGAGTGAGCCAATGGGCCGTGAGCTGACGGCCGGGGAAGACTGGTTTATTGAATAACTGAAATACTGACCATGTCAGTGCCTCTCGACACTTCGGCGTTCAATGATCGTCTGTACTGTGAAATGTACGCATTTATTTTGTATACAGTCTCAGATTTCTTACCGAGGTTTTCGTTTCTTACTATAGATGAGTTTGTACAACGGTAAAGTGACAATGAAATTATTATCAGGTACCAACAAATTTGTTTGCTGTTGTCTTAAAAAAAAACATTTTGTTATAAGCAAAGAAAATATTATAAACAATTTCGTTGCCAAATATTAACAAAATTGTTTATACCTTACCGTTTCACAAATACTCAACGTTTTCTCGCTCCAAAAATACCGACCGAAATTTTATATTCAATAATGCGATGAAGTCGCGGAATGTTTTACCGTTCTTGCAACTTTGTCGGTAAGTTTGTGTATTAAAGATGATAGTGGTGCATGCATACAAACAGTTGTGCATGACATTGAGTTAGTGGGTGAGAGGGTGTGAGAGAGAGATGGAGAGAGAGAGGGAGAGTCGATTTAACGAAATGGAGATGGGAGGTCACTCTTCCTTGCCAGAGCGCACGTGGGACTGCATCCTCACTCGAGACTCGAGTGACCTCGACACCCGAAAATGGATCCGTTTTTCTGCACGTAAGCGTTCCGACTTTTCCTTCTGTTAGCTAGACGTAGGGTTCGTCCCTGAATGGAATTACTTGTGTGTGTACCTTTGTGGCCTGTCCTGTGATGTGGATTAGTAAGTTGCGAGGTAGATGTACGCCAGACTACGTCTCGTGTAACAGGCTTCGCAATATCTCACGGAACACTGGCACGCTGCGACGCGACTGGCGCTGACACCCGGTTTGGGCAAAAGGTTGTGTCGTAAAGAGTCGCGAAGGTTTAATTTTGACAAATTACCTCGTTGGCGACCGTCAAATAAATGGGGTCGTGAAACATTCATTTGTTTTGGGGTAATTTCCGTGAGATAAGCTCTCTATAGCCTCTAAGCGAAGAATACATAAAGTCAAAAATAGGAATTTTGGTAACAAAGTTCTACTTTTCCGAGGAACTTCTTAAAAATCAAAACAACATTGCTAAGAGCACTTAAAAACTCTAGAAATATAATCAGAAATTCGAAGTTTTTTTGAGTGCTCTTTAAATTGCCCGTTCTTGGCCATTTTTTTTTTTTTTGAGCTGGAAGGCTTTTTTCAGTTTTGTTTTTTGAGATGCAAACTTGCCCTGAAAATCTCAGGAAGGTTGCCCCTTCATAACATAATGATCCAAAAATTGTTCGATTTATGGCTCTGAGTTCGAAAAATTTATACCTTCGGTTGAAAGACGTCAAAAAGATTGTACATTTGAATTTTTTTACACTGGCGTAAAACTACATCTCATTTCTTACTACAAGGGCTTGCGTTCACTTAAAAATAAATGTATGCTATTATTTCTGGTGGCAATCAAGGGCTCTTTTCTTTTTCAAAATTTAAATACTGGGGCAAGCGGATTCGTGTTGATATATTGTACTTGTATTAAGGGGTGTCCCACTGTGTCTTCTTGGCTGACTTACGTTTGAGAAGGTGCAGCAGTTGGCTTCGCCGCAGCCCGTCGCGTTTCGGTTGGGCTCTCGCTGGGAACTGACTGAAGAGCGTGCTGGGCAGGAGCCGAAATACCGCCTGAATCCAACCGTCGCAGCTCTCTATGAGAGAGTGAGAGAGAAATATCACACCGCTGGCTACTACAGGGTGTCTAGCTCCGGGAAAAACCGTGAAAACTGGGGAAAAACCCGGGAAGTAAAAATGCCCCGGGAAAAACCGGGAAAACCTGGGAATTTGAAAACCAACCGAAAAATTATCAAAGCGAAACCAGAGACATTATTTGCCACCTTAACTAACTGGATTTGTAATTATTTAAAATGAACATAAGATCGCTACTTTTGAACGAAAATTTCTCTCTTTCCACCATATTAGTGTCGCAAAACCTTACGTTTTGTCTGACATATCTACTTAATATCGGTATCCGATATTCCCTTCAAGATTTTGTGACAAATTTACAACATATTTTGTAAGTACCAATGACACCACATACACTGTAAAAAGCTTACGGCGAATTTCACGGTGTATGTCACCGTAGGCTACGGTGAATATCACCGTAGGCAACAGTAAATTCACCGTAAGCTACAGTGAAATTCACCGTAAGCTTTTAACAGTGTATTGTAAATTTACTAGGATATTTTTCACAGTGTCGGGCTGTTAAGTTACGTACTTCAAACTAAAATTTTTCAGGTTTCCAGTTTTAATTGCAAGAGTTTAGTTTTGCACTGCTATCTATGCTTGTGAGATTTCTTATGGTGAAAAATTTTAACTCTAGGATGTTTTGGTTGTGATCTGTAGCAATTATGACTTCAATGGTCACAGTGCTGCACTGCTCCTAAAAGCAATGCACGCAATGATACAAATATTTCTTTCCGGGCACTAAACTTTGTGCTCTAAATTTTCTTTGCCTGGGATGCTTCGTTTAGCTCCCAGCGCTAGACGTATAGTGCAACGAAAAAGCTTCCATCTGGACACCTACGGATAGTGCGGAGACAGATTTTGTTTTCTTAGTGCGCTTACTCATCAAGAAACTTACTTTAGGATAAACGCCAATTGCCAATAATAATCTCGGAGTACCCTCGCGAAATGGATCGATCACGTGTTGAGCCACCAAATAAATCGAGCACATGTTGAGGCGAGCCACACGCGTGACGCCAACACTGACACGGCCTACCGCAACGGTAGGCACTGTGCATTATGAGGGGTCCCCCACTATAAAACTCGTTGTACTCGAGAAAAAATATTCGCAAGATACTCGCGGATGCTCGCGATAATTCGTGAAAAGTTCGCGCCAACTCGCGAAAAAATGAAAAAATACTCGCTAAGTGCTCGTGCTCGATAACCTTTAATACCCCCGAATACTTGCAGAATCTCGCGAGTACTTGCGTAACTTGTTGTACACCCAATTAGATAGTGGGGGACCTCTCGTGTCCATAGGAGTGGCGATACCCCGGCCAGCCGGCCGGAGATACTCCAGAACTGGAAACAAACAGCCTACAGACATACACCATTTACGAAAATCGACGTCGTACTTAAAAATGAAAAGTTTAAATATGTAATTCCATGTAAGCCACCCTACATAGTTACAGTTTACTGTGAAAATTGACAAGTTTTGAGCTCGACAGTATTGACGAAAAGGCAGGCAGTCCAGCCGTCCGACTAATGCAGTTGAGCCACTCTATCCAAACCTCACGCCGGCCGGGGACGACTGATTTATTGACTAACTGAAATACTGACCATGTCAGGTGCCTCTCGACACTTCGGCGTTCAACGACACCGTGAACTGTGGGAGTCATCTTTCGCGCCCAAATTCAGTGACGTGTTTCTACATCACCCATAGAGCGACCTGGTTTTGCATCGCTTTATTGAGGGTGATATGCTTTAACGAAAACATCGCTCAATTAGAGTGATCTCGGCCAAGGTCACTCTTATGGAGTTATTACAACGCCCAGCGAATTAGGGCTGGGCGGTTCAGGAAATTGTGAACCGGTGTCCGGTTCAGGAAAAAACCTTTTTCCGAACCGGTTAACCGATTGGCGAAAAAAACGATTTTTCCTGAACCGGTTTTTTTCACCCGAACCGGTTTTCCCCAAAAACCCGGTTTTTACACACTAAAAA